GGTGCTGCACAGGATTTCGAAATCTTTCCAACAGATTGATATTGTGTTCTAGGTTGGAGAAGCAAGAGCACTTTATAATCTTGGAAATGTGTATCACTCCAAAGGAAAAAATGTAGCCTGTGCTGGGACTCATGATCCAGGGGAACTTCCAGATGAAGTAAAGGCTGCATTACAAAAAGCTGCAGATTATTATGAGTAAGTAACGATTTCAAAAGGCTGTGACTGAAAAGAGAAAAATCACTAGCTCAAGCAGCATATAAATAGTTTAAAATATTAAGAGACCTTTAGTGTTGTGAATTAAAGTATAGAGTAGCACCAGTTAATGGTACCAGCAGCAATATGTTGGCATTTGGGATAAGTTAATAAAGCATGAAAGGAGTAAAGAGTGATACCTGGGGATTTTTTTTAGGGTGGCTTTGATTTCATTCCTGCTATATGCTTCTCTGTAATACCACACAACTCTTATTTATCTCTACTTGTTATAAATTTCAGAGGGATAGCCGTGTTAGTCTGTATCAGTAAAAACAATGAGGAGTCCTTGTGGCACCTTACCAAGTGCCCCCTCTTGTCAACTTTTGGGAATGGGCTACATCCACCCTAATTGAATTGGCCTTGTTAGCACTGACCCCTCACTTGGTAGGGCAACTCCCATCTTTTCACGTGCTGTATATTTATACCTACTTACTGTATTTTCCACTCCATGCATCTGATGAAGTGGGTTATATCCCACGAAAGCTTATGCCCAAATAAATGTGTTAGTCTCTAAGGTGCCACAACGATTCCTTGTTGTTTTTACCTGTTATAAGTCATTCCAACATCTTGGGACCCTGCCATCTGCTCAGGAACCAGAATAAGCGATGAAAAGTTAAGACCTGTGCACCAGCAGATCTGAGTTGACATTTGGTCTTTTTCCTTAAGTAACCTCTACCCACTTCGTGCTGGAAACACCACAATTGTCACAGGAGAATGGATGTATTTTGAGATGTACTTTGAGACTGGCTAGCAGGTTCTGAGCAGATGATCTTCCCCTGTTCCAAGAGCTGAGTACTCCAGCCTGCGGAGGATAAAACAGAGTCTAGTATCTGCTGGTATCAGACTGGGTAATGCTTTGTGCTACCTCAAGGCCACTAAGTCAGGCAGTAAAGGGAAAATAATCTCTTCCTTTGTAGTAATGGGAAGACCAATTATTTTCTGGCTTGTAGTTTCCTATGGACAACCTATTAGATCTCTTTTTTTGTTTTGTTTTTTTCTTTCCCCCTCATCAGGGAAAACTTGACAATAGTGACAGAGTTGGGTGATAGAGCAGCCCAGGGACGTGCGTATGGAAATCTGGGGAATACACATTACCTTCTAGGCAACTTCAGGAATGCTGTTATAGCCCATGAACAGGTACAAGACTGTACTTCTACGGAATTTTGTTTATTTTAGCAGAACACTTTTCAGCTGCTGATTGATCGTCTGTATGCATGTATTGTCTCTGTAGGCTTTTTAAATGCTAACTTACCATACTTCACTGATACTTAAGAGTACAGATTCAAGCGCTTATACAATCTTTTCAAGAGTTGTTTGCTTGAAGAGCAATCAAATGTTGATATGAAGTGGTAAAGCCCTATAAATGTTTTCTTGGAGATAAATTTGTGAAGTGCAATGACTGAGTACATCAGTAAGATTCTGTGTTTTTAAGCGTCTCCTAATTGCAAAAGAATTTGGTGATAGAGCTGCTGAAAGAAGAGCATACAGCAATCTTGGAAATGCCTACATATTCCTGGGCGAGTTTGAAACAGCTTCTGAATACTACAAGTTAGTTAATTTATTTCTTATATATAAACATAGTACCAATTCTCTTTTACATAATCAAAGCAGGCAAGTTTTAACCTCTGTTAGTAATAATAATGCGTAGCATTTGATATATTGCTTTATAATCATCCTTACAACACAGATTGGGAGAGAATTAATTATGCAGTGCTTAACGGAATTTTTAAATTAATTTTCTAGTCATTTGACTGTTCAGCCTTTCCTAAAGTCTGGATTTTTGTATTATGTCTTCTCTACCTTTTCTAGTAAGAAGGAATATTTAAAGAGGCACTTCTTCATAGTACAGGTTATTGCTTTCTGTTAACATGCTTTTAGTAGCTTTCTCCTGTGTCCTAAGCATGTTGCCTTTCTACCCACCAAATTCTAGGATGATGATCCACAGACTTTAAGTACTTGTATTGAGATTGGTAGTGCATTAAGAAATAACTGAAACATGCCAAAGGCATATATACTCATACTTTATTCACAAACATCCCTTCTTTATCTCCTAATCTTCTGCACAGCAAGGCAAATATAGTTGCTGCGCAGAGTTCAGTAAAATTAAATGTTAGGTTCATGGGCTACATATGAGTTCAGATTTCAGCTGTGAAGCCCAGGACTCCTCATGTTTTCAAAAGGGAGAAGAACTGACCTGAACATTTGTCAAACATCAGAGGGGTAGCCGTGTTAGTCTGGATCTGTAAAAAGTGACTGTGTGGCCTGTGGCACGTGACGAAGTGGGTATTCACCCACGAAAGCTTATGCTCCAATACGTCTGTTAGTCTATAAGGTGCCACAGGACTCTGTCGCTTTTTATTGGTCAAACAGTTAACTAAGTCAGCAATCAAGTCTGCCTTGATAGCTACAGAAGTATCCTAACACTACCTACTCCTATTGATTTAAACGTTTGCTGTGTCTGTTATTTTCTAAAGTTGGCATCATACTTTGTGTAAACTGCACTCTGGATTTTTTTATACAGTGAAGAAAATCAGCATAAATAATGCAGTAATGAAGCAGCTGGCTAAAGTTAGAATATGCAGTTTAAGGGCCCAGTCCTCCTCCCATTGAAAACAATTGGACTTTTTTTTTCCATTTTAAGGTTAGAGTTAAATAGGAAGGGGAAAAACTGTAATTATTCTCTTGTGGGATGATTATTTGCAAAACAAGGTTGAATTTTACCATTTTATCCAGGCAACTGTATTGATTTTAGTGGGGTTGCACAGGTATGGATTGAGAACAGAATTTTTCCCGTAGTGATTTTTTGAGGCTAATAATCCATTCTCTTAGGAAGACACTACAACTGGCTCGACAGCTTAAAGACAGAGCTGTGGAAGCACAGGCTTGTTACAGTCTTGGAAATACATACACTTTGCTCCAAGACTATGAAAAAGCAATTGACTATCATCTGAAGCACCTTACAATCGCTCAGGAACTGAATGATAGGTAAGTCCTTTGGAGCCAATATTGTATATTTAACCTAGAGGGATAATAGGATTGACCCTTCGTCTCCTGTAATTGTTCTGTATATGGAACTTGCTTTGAAATCAATATGAGTTCCCAGCATGGATTGGCTATAGGATTATACCCTTCATAGGAAAATGTGGTAGTCTTAAAGATATCACATTAATGAATCGTGAGATGAAAGGTAGACTTTGTGCAGTTGTATTGAGATGAAGAGTATCCCGTGACTTATGGAATCACTGATACTGTTAAACTGACTTCCACCTCTGTCAGTTTCTTGGTTAATTGTTAAGGGAAGAGACAGCAGCTCTCAATCTTTACTTCAAAACAAATGATTGCTGTAATTTTGCAGCCTTCTCATACCAATAGATGCGCTTTTGTGCCTTCACTGGGGAGGAATGAAGTGGAGAGAAAAGGACAAGTCCACTAAAATGATATAGTTTTTAAATGCAGATAATTTTTAAGCCCTGTATTTTAATATGCAGGGCAACTAAAATTGCTTTATAATTTTTAAATGTTATGCTTATTGATTTGTAGAGAAAGACTTGTTAAGAATGGGCCAGAGAATGCAATTCAAGCAAAAAATGCTTATGAACTGGATTACAAAATGTGGTCCCTATGCATTTTTAAACTCTTGGGTCCTTTGTATCATTATCAGCATCTTGTAATTTGAATCATAATGTTCACAAGACTGAAGGAGTGATTTGTCTGTTCTGTAAAGTAAAAATCAAAGATCTTACCTTCACAAAATTCCTAATTTAAGTAGCAAGTGTTTTAAATGAATGCTGAATAGATTGTTTAAATACTTGGTTAAATGTCTTTCATTACTGCCTATAATGTACTTAATATTTTGGTGCTTGAAATGGGAGTTTTCCTATGCTTACTGGGCCCAGCAACAGATTCTGTCCCAGAAGCTACAGCATGAAATTCTGACCACCTGGGATTACAACTGAATATTTGCTTCAATTGTGTTACAGAATTGGTGAAGGAAGAGCGTGCTGGAGTTTAGGAAATGCGTACACAGCATTAGGAAATCATGACCAAGCTATGCACTTTGCAGAAAAACATTTAGAAATTTCAAGAGAGGTATGACTTGCGCATTCTTCTGTTTTGGCTGTTGGCTTTTCCTCTTGAAGATCTTTCTAATGTCACACATCCAGACTGCATGACACATTGTGTTTGGAGGAAGAAAATAAAAAATCTGTCTCAACTTAGTGTCATCTGAGCCGGGTTAGTTTACAGTGGCCCCAGTAAATGTGTGTGAAGAGGAAAAATAGTTGGAATGAAAAGTTGTGGCTTTGCACCTAATGCATTAGTAAAAGGATTCAAGAAGAGTCTTTCTGTATGGAAATGTCACCACTGTAATGGTGTCAAGGCCATAGCCACAAAGTAATCGTGTAATATTCTTGGAAAGCAAAAGGTACAGCATTCGTAGATTTTTCTTAAATATCAACAAAAATTGGCAAAAATAGCAACATAAGTTGTCAGCAGACTAATTCTTCACTTTCTATTTTCTGTCACCTTGTGAAATGCTGTTCACTTTCTCTGGTGCATGAGTCAACTTTGCCTAAATGCACACCAAATTTTAAGATGTTGAAATGAAACTTTAAATCCATAAGCAGCATGCTCTCATACTGCAATTGTGGGCTGAGATGTATATATCTACCTCAGGCCACAATTGCAAAATGAGAGCACACACATGCGCAGATATGTGTTTGCTTGCTGTGTGTTTGATTTTGATTCATGGGATAGGTGCTCAGAGCATGTGACTGATACCAATAGTTACATTTTTAGAAATTTGAGGAAATAAATAATAACTGAATAAACATATTCAAATGTACTTGGTTGCAGGTAGGGGATAGAAGTGGAGAATTAACAGCTAGACTTAACCTCTCAGATCTTCAAATGGTGCTTGGTCTAAGCTACAGCACAAACAACTCCATGATGTCAGAAATCCATGCTGTAGATAATAGTTTGAATGGTAAGTGCTTCTTTCCAGCATATTTTTTTAGCTGAAGTTGAGAGGAAAAAATGATTGCTCCTTTATTGTGTTCAGAGGCTTTTGCATTTGTGTTTCTCACTCTCCTATCTCCCTCCCTCCCCTCCCCCCCCCCATATCTGCTTGTTCCATTTGGAATATTGGGCCTTCTTTTTGATAAAGGGACCTTTTTATGTTTGGAAGACTTGCATCATGGAATCAGACAGGCCTGCAACACAGGCTGTCCCGCTCCACAAGTTGAATGGTCTAAATCTGAATGTTCCCCAACCACTTCATTTAAGGGGAGAAGAGAGGCTGATGTTGCTATGCAGATCCTCCAAAAAAATGTCAGTCCTCTAATAAAGAGGGAAGTTGGAGGACCTGACTTTTTTCCAAATTAGAGGAAAGAATGCTTAAAACAATCCCATTGTTAAAAAAATAAAAAATTAAAGCCGCATCTTAATAGAGCTGGAAAGAATGCAAACAAAGTTCGATTTTTGCTTTATAGTCCATTGTTTGCATTTTGTCTGTGGGTAATTTTTTTTTAAATTGAGAGCAAATATGTAACAGCTTTTAGAAAAAATCTGAGATAAGACTGATTTTATGCACCAGATTACAGGTTTTGCCTTGCCTCCTTTCTCCATAGCATTCTTACTGGCATTGGGGAGCTTACAACAAAAATCGTGGGCTCATCTGATGTCCCTCTTCCTCTGTCTAAACTCCCTAATCAAACCTTTCTCTCCCTTCTCCCCATCCACAGTTGTGTAGCCTCTTCAAAACTCAGTTGATCTTCTGTGACTTTGTAGTGTAATGCCAATTATTTTTAGAAAGTGCGTGGTATTTTGATGCAAGAGCATAGCATTCCTGGATCAAAGAATCTTATTGCAAGGAGACAGTCTATATTTGTGTTTTAAGGTAATTAGCTTTAAACTCTGAAGTGCAAAACCAAGTGTTTTCAACCTGGGTACTCTACAGATGTTTACTCCATGCTAATATTTTTTTACTACATCATTTTGGAACTTAAAATTACCACGTCTTAAACCTTAGATGGTATATACCACAACATAGCTTTGAAATGTAGAAAATGCATCTTTCCCCTTCATAGGCAATCAACTTATTTAGTCTTATTTCATCTCTTCCCAAAGGTGCAAGATCCAGAGTAGGCCGCCGTCACAGTATGGAAAACATGGAACTTATGAAATTAACACCTGAAAAGGTTGGCACTTCCTTTCTTTTCTTTCTGTTCTGAGTAGTAGAATTGCAGTAATGTTTCATAGCTTTCAGTGCACCAGTGCTATGAAATGCCTAACGTGAATCATTCCATATAAATTCTTCATTCAAATGATAGGAGCATGGGTTTTAAGGCAAGATGATCAGAAATTGTATATACTAACAACTTTAGAAGTGGCTAGTAAAATCTTGATCAATGAAATGAAGTGTCAAGCAGATACAAATCTAGAGAAGTCAGAGACATGTTCAATAACTAGTTGTGGCAAAGAGTATTCATGATCAAAAGCACAATGGTAGCAAAGTCAGTCCTATGTAATGGTTTACTGGAGGATGTTCTCTCAGAAATGTAGAATTTATTTTCTGCAGTACACATCAGAAGTGTGTAGGGAGTGTGTATTTCCCCTAAGAGCTTCAGTTTATCTGGGTAGTCAAGTGATTCAGAATAAAATGAAAGGGAAGCTGTCCATAGAACTTGGAGCAATCATTCCTCAGCTATGAAACAATTTCATATTTTTATTTATATATCAAATTTTTATAGTGTTTTGAGGTTCAGAACATTTTGCAAACAATTAAGCCTTTCAACATCCACGTTAAGTAGATATATTTTAGAAATGTAAAAGCTGAGGCACTGTAAGGTCACACAGGAAGTCTGTCAGAGCTGGGAATAGAACAGAGGTCTCCTGACTAGTAGTGATGTACCTTAACCTCAAGGCAAGAGTTATCTCAAATGAACCTGTTTGCCTCATGAGCCAAGTTGACAATTTTGTATAAATCCATGTTTCCCAAAGGATTTTAATGGGAGGTTGGAACTTCTACTTCAACCTCCATCCTGGGACACTATTCATCCCCATCTCCTCCAATAGTACAAACCTGTTCACTAGTTTTGCAGATAAGAGAGTTAAATCTCTTCCAGGACTGACATGTTGGGCAGCTGATGGTGCTGAAGTTTGTCACTTCTTGCACTCTGACCCCCTGCTGGGACTGATATACAAGATCCTAAGTTTGGCCTCCAACCTGCATCTCCCACAATGTACTGCTGAACATTCAGCTAGTTCCAGCTGAAGTTTTATATCCTATACTGCTCTGATCACTTAAACTTTTGCTTAGGTGATACCTTTTAAAAATATGAGTCCTGTATGTGACAGTATAGTCTGGGGTACTGTGTAATGAGAGTTTTGCAAGATGCCTCTATAAGAAACCAAAACTAAATATAGCATCGCTGTAACAAAGGACTTCCTTTGAAATACTACTCTTCTAAACTCAAGAGAAGGAGTTTAATTGAGGGTTGAGGTTCCAAAGACATAATGGGGGGAAAAGCCCAGCTTAGGAGCCTGATTTTAGGAGTTTAGATAAGGCCAAAAGCAGAGGCTCTGAAAGACCTTAAGATATGGCTAGAATATCCAACACTAAGAGACTGTACAAATAAGAAGGCGTTAGTGCCAGCCAATGAATGGTTTTGTCAGAACCAGAATATTTGTTTAGTCTTTATCAGCTTCTAATGCAGCTGTACCTAATTATGTCAAGAGGGCAAAAAATACTGGTACACTAATCTCTGAGTAGGAATCTGCCTTATAGCATTAACCAAGCTTAGGTCCCTGATATCCTTCTGTTTTGGCAGCCACCTCTGCTTTCAGAGCCATGCTGCTACTGTTGTCTGGCATCTGTGTAACAAGGGAGAAGTCTGATTTTAAAATTCAACTGCACAATTTCCCTATGAGAAAGCTCTAAAAGGCTCCTATGTCATCACAATGTACAGTCAACCTGTGGAACTCTGCCAGGATGTTGTGAAGGCCAAGACTATAATAGGGTTAAACAAAGAACTAAATAATTTCATGGAGGATAGATCCATCAATGGCTATTAGCCAGGATGGGCAGGGATGCAAAACCATGTGCTGAAGTGTCCCCTAGCCTCTGTTTGCCAGAAGCAGGGAATGGGCAACACAGGGTGAATCACTTAATGATTACCTTTTCTATTTATTCCATCTGAAGCACCTGGCATTGGCCATGTCGGAAGGCAGGATACAGGGCTAGATGGACCATTGGTCTGACCCAGTATGTCCGTTATGTTTGTTATGTTAAGGGGTTTGACTTTCTGAGGAAAAGACAAGTTTACTTAAAAAATGCTCTAGCATTTTAATTTACAGCTTAAGTTACAGTTCTAAATTTCACTGACAATATTGAAAGATTTTAATTCTATTACTCTCTCTGAATGGAATGTTCTTTCTTTGATTCACTGACATTGAGCTCATTTCCTATTGTATGTTAGAGATAATAGAAGACTCCATAGTCACAGGTCAGGTGATGTAACCTAACAGTTAAATTTTGTTCATCCATCTACTGAAAAGGAAACACACACAATCTAGAGATTCTTCACTGATGGGGAGTGAAGCTAGTTAGATGATAGGCAGCAGCATATGTAAAGAAGGCTTGTTTCATCTGACTCTTGTTTTCTTAGATTCAGAACTGGAACAGTGACATTCTTGCTAAACAGAAACCCCTGGTTGCCAAACCTTCAGCAAAGCTGCACTTTGTAAATCGACTAAAAGGCAAAAAGTACAAAAATGGCAAATCCTCCAAAGTTCTGCAGGATGCTAGTAATTCTATTGATCATCGACTTCCAAGTTCTCAGAGGGTATGTTTGGAGAACTAAAGCCTAAACAGGTTTAATTGTTTGGTAAAAATTTCTAAGTTACAAATGAGTGCTCATTTCTGGAGTTGTGTTAATTTCAGTTCTTACTGTTCACTTGATCAGAAAAAAGTGATTTAAAGTATAGTAACTCCACGCTTAACGTTGTAGTTATGTTCCTGAAAAATGCTACTTTAAGCAAAAGGATGTTAAGCGAATCCAATTTCCCCATAAAAAACCAGGGAATTTTTTTTGCCAGACGAGAGAGAGAGAGAGAGAGAGAGAGAGAGAGAGACACACACACACACACACACACACACACACACACACACACACAGTTTTAAACAAATAGTTTAATACTGTACACAGCAATGATGATTATGAAACTTGGTTGAGGTGCTGGGAAGAGGGTGGGATATTTCCCAGGGGATGCCTTACTGCTAAATGATGAACTAGCACTTGGCTGAGCCCTCAAGGGTTAACACGTTGTTAATGTAGCCTCATACTCTACAAGGCAGCATGAATGGAGGGAGGAGACACAGCATGAAGAGAGAGACAGAGACTCACATTGTGTGTGTGACGCTCATTGCCCCTTTAAGTACGCTGCCTTTTTAAATAGATCAGCAAGTTGAGACAGCAGCTGCCACCAAGCTCTCTACATGTCCGTCTGTCCCCCCCGCTCTGAGGAGATGAGGTGCAGGAGAGGAGGGAGACACCCTGACATAGCACCCCTCTTCTCCCTCCCCCGCCCTGCACAGCAAGCAGGCGGCTCCTGGGAGCAGCTCCAAGGCAGAGGGCAGGAGCAGCAACGAAACAACTTTAACCGGGATGATGTTGAGTGAGGAGTTACTGTACAGAACTAGCTTTGTCACAAGATTAATAAATGTTCAATTTCATGTTAAATTTGAAAGAAGTGAAGTAATAAAAATTAAGTTAACTTGATCCCAGGTCAGAGGAGAGAATCTATTTGTGATAATGAGAACTAAAGCAGCAACTGGAAACATGTCTCTGGCTTATACCTGGCAGCTTTATTTTCCTTTTGACTACTAACTCTGCCATATAATGCTCACATTTCAATTGTTTTAAAAGATCTTCCACGAGTAGGCTTGTTTTGTTGACTTGATCACTTTCCATTGTAACATCGTGTTTAAACAATATCCAAATATCAAACATGACCGGATTAAACTGCCTTAACTTCTGCATTGCAGTTCAATAGGGGACAATCGTAACCCAAAGTTTCCCTGACACTCTTGCCTATCTTTTCAGAAAAACAGTCCTGATATGACTGGAGATGAAGGGTTCTTTGACTTGCTGAGCCGGTTTCAAAGCAACAGGATGGATGATCAGAGATGCTGTTTCCAGGAGAAGAGCAGAACGACAGCTGCAACATCATCCTCCACCCCACCTAAAACAATGAGAAAATGTACATTTTTTTGATTGATTGTTTGAAAAAAATCTACCCCAATCATGTGCCTCTGTCTTGGCTTGATGTCAGTCTTTTAAACTATTCTAACACTCAAGATTTACTGTTCCAAGGCACATTTCCAGACTAACTTGTTTGCTTTCTCCTTCCATCTTCAGCCTTTTCTACTTCCATGGTCTCACCGCACACTGATGAATTTTTAGATCTACTTGCAAGCTCACAGAGCCGCCGCCTAGATGATCAACGAGCCAGCTTTAGCAATTTACCTGGGCTTCGTCTCAATCAGCACAACAGTCAGTCAGTCCTTGGCCACCTAATGGCTAGCAACAACAGAGAATCAGATGATGACTTCTTTGATATCTTAATAAAATGTCAAGTAAGTCAATAAGAACGGTATGTGGACAAAACTGCTGCTCAGTTACATGGGATGGGGCTATTACATTACATTGAGGGTCAAAAGAACTGGGTGTTCATGTAATTTGCCCCCACGAGGTCTCATTTACCTCATCTCAAAAATGGGGATAATGACTATATCTGTAAGCACTTTGAAATTGATATATGAAAAGCATTCTAAAAGTGCTAGGTGCTATAATATGTGCAGAGTTGGAGAGAAAATTCAGTGAGGTTTTTTCCATGTTTTTAACTTATGTCACTGCAATCTTTACACTCAACATCAGTAAGACTCTTGATACTAGAAATATTAGGCTCTAAATTCAATCTGTGAATGAAGCTTCCTATTGAATCTTTCAGAATATATTGAAATGAGGAGTACATTGAGGTTCTTTGACAGCTTGCTCATGTCAATTCCATGGTAGGTGTGCGCGCACGCGCAACATGCACAGTTGCTGGATGTTTTTTCCTTAGTGGTAGCTGTAGGGGCTGGCCCTGTCGCCCCCGGGAGCGTGTGCTTATGCGACGCCAGTATAAGGGGCGCTGCTAGCCCCCCCCCCGTTCCTTCTTACCGCACAGGACGGTTGCTGGAGTGTTTCTTGCCTTGCAAGCTTTCCAGTGGTTTTGGACTTTGTTGTTCTGTATATAGTTAAAAGTTTAGTTGATAGCTGTAGTTAGTTAAGGTAGATAGCAGTCCCATATCGGGACGTTGCCATAAGAATGGGCTATGCCCTGGTCCCCGGGTTTCAAATCGTCTATTGCTGGCGTTAAGTCCATGCCAGTGAAAGACCCCAATTCAAGCTGCTTAAAGTACCTTGGGGAAGCCCACATTAAGGACGGGTGCAAAATCTGCAGGGCTTCAGGATATGCGCACAAAAGGACAGGGACATTTGTTTGAAGACCCTGTTAATGGAAGCAGCACTTAGACTGACCTTGGAGTTGTGCCGCTCTGATTTTGCACTGAGCAATCAGCCTGGGTACGGAGCACTCCCCTCGCACCATTCACTGTTTTCGGTGCCAAGGAAGAGGCACAAGAAACTGGGCGCCAAAAGAGGGCACTCCCTAGTGCCAAAGAGGGATAGGTGGGGAGTGATTGATAAGGTGATACCCATGCCGGGCCTCTTGTCCTCCCCAGAGGTGCAGTCTGTGGTGGTGACTCCACCGAGGGCAACAAGCCCAGTCCAGGACTCAACACTGACTCCTGGGAGCAGTCAGGGCACCCTACACCTGTGAGCCCCATCGACACCTGAAGCATTGCAGGCAGCAAGGGACCTAATGTCCCCCCGGTGCTGCCCATGCCCTGAGATCCCCAGTTGGCTTCCTCAGTCGTTGAAGGTGACCACCACCAGAGAAAGACCCTCCATGGGCCCACCACTGGTCTCCAGCTTCACAGCACTGATCCCCACTTCGTGACACATATCCACGATCCCATGTCAATGGTCACTGGCTCCACAGCACCAGTCTCCAGCTCCCCTGTCATCGCCGACAGGCGGACGTGGCAATGGCTCCACCATGGTCTCCATGGGAGGAATTCACGTCGGAGGCCGGGGATGAATCCATTCTGAGGAGATACCAGCATCAGCCTTTGGCGCCACACCTTCTGCAGATGCTTGGCCACTGGGGCAGTGGTTGGTACAATGGCAACAGTGGAACCTGTGGGGGTTCCCTCTGATGCCAGGTTCCTACTCCCAGCTGTCATCCTTGGTTGTATCCAAGAGACGAACCACTGTGCCGCCCCAGCTAGTGCTGGACTCAGACTGCAACCCAGTATCAGGACCCCGGTAGTGGTCCCCGTGGAGGCAACCCCAGGCAACCGTGGAGAAGGAACCAGCCTCTCCTATGGTTGTAGCCTCTTCCTCATTGTCCCTAGATGTGGAGGTCGCAGGTCCTGCCAACCCACTGCCACCATACGACTTCAGGGTTTATCAAGAGCTCCTTAAACAAGTCGCCACAAGCTGGAGGTGGAGGAGCGCAAGGAGCCCATGGACAGCCTGTTCGACATTTTAGCTGCAGCGGTCCCCTCCAAAGTGGCCCTACCAGTCCATGAAGGGTGTTGAAGCTGGTGAGGGCGCTGTGGCAGATCCCATCTTCCCTGCCTCTGACCTTGAAAAGGGCAGAGAAAAAATATGTCCTGGCTAAGGGGTTTGAATATATGTACTTGCACCCTCCCGTTTCCAGTTTTTATAGCAGTCTTTAACTTGATAAAGTAGGAACCTGCTTCTACATTACTGCATCCAGTTTAGTACAAAATTAGTGATTTTTAAAAGGAATGACTGAAGCATTTCACCCTGGACATCTCCAGACAGATTTAAACTTCTAGTTTCATTACATGTGCAAATGAGAGAGAAAATTTAAAGCAATAACTAAAACAATCAAGAGTGCCAGTAATGCAAGATGGCTGATTGAAGCTGAAACAACATAATAGTAGCTGCAAGCCTCCATACAAGAAAAATATTCCCACTTAATGCACAATATATAGCTGAAAAGAAACGAGTTGGTTTCTAAGCAGCAGAAGATGCTGTTCAAGAACAAAGTATTACAAGGTCTCTGCCACTTGCTTAGATAGCAAATAATAAATGCAAACTTCTCTCCTGTAATCCTCCTTAACTTGGGATGTATGGTTGGGTGCATTATGCTATCTAAACCTAGCTAAGAGGTAAAGTCCAGTACAGTCTCAAGGCACTCTGTGAAAGATGAAAAATTCTTCTACTACTACCATCAGCCTTAAGCTTAATTGGTTAGGTGGCTGGCTGAAAAAGAAGATTGATATCCCAGCTTCCCTGTAATATTCATTGGAACTTTGAGGAAGACTGCTTCTAGCTATCATAAGTTTGTGCTTAGTACAAGTAGGACTTTGATTAAAATATGGTATGTATTACTTGAAAATCTACAAAGAACTAAATTTACAAAACCATTGAAGGAGGTGTTGAAGAATTTTAATGGATTACAGCTGTCAGTCTCAGTGGAAATCTGTCTTGATCTAGTAAACAAAACTGGAACCTCATAAGGACAAAACTTTTTAATGCAGAGAAGCTATTAAATATTTCTACTACTTCGTTAACATGAGTGATCCGAAATAAAGGTCAGGCTGGGTCCAGAACAGAAAGAGGATTAAATGGAATGTAATCATTAGTTCCTTTTCTTAACACTGAAGAGCTTGAATTCTACCCTAAATCTGTTGCAGTAGCCAGAGAAGTGCCATACTTTGCAGCAGACTGATGGCAATTTGTGGAAATAAAGTTAGAGGATATTGTGTAGACTTCTATTCAGTTTTAAAAATAACTGCACACTCCTGTGCAGTCAGTACAGCATTAATAGTGTGTACTTCAGCACATTGCTGTAGTTAAACCATTGCAATAGGCTAGATGCTTTAAAATAAGTTGGTAAAAATGTGCCTGTATCCAAAGGAAGGAAGTAGTATAATAGGTAGAAAGTATCCTGGTGACTCCTACTGATGTTGTGTGTTTTGTAGAATCACCTGCTTTCCATTCTCTATAATGTGTACTTTCATGTTGGAACAGCAGATATATTTAGGGTGGTGCAGGTGTTTTTCTTATTAAGCCTTTGTGGAGTCTTACACTTAAGGAAAATGATTTGGGTTTTTCCAGTGTGAGGAAAATATTTACACCCCCTATTGGAGATAATAGGGGTTGCAGAGGATGAAGTCTACAGCAGAATTTAGCGCTAGGAAAATTACTATTTAGTCCAGCACTACTTGGACACATTTGAAATGTGTTGTTACTGCCAGAGAAGGAGGGATGTAAAAGAGTCTCCTCAGAAGCATAGAACCATAACGTTAGAAGGGATGGCAAGGGTCATATAGATGCAGGATTTGTTGCGTTTAATCCATCCAAGACAGATGGCTATCTAGCCTCCTTTTGAAAACCTACAGTAAAGGGAGGGGGTAGAAGCTCCTAGGCAGTCTGTGGTAGAATGTGAAATCTGTTACGATGAGAAGATTGCTGTAAGAAATTACTAAAGTGCATGGCAGCAGACAATATATACTTACAGAAACTACTGTGAAGCCAGATAAGCTTTACCTCTTCAGTTTGCACAATATGTTTTACTGGGCTTTTAAGTGAAAATAGCAAAACAAGAGAATCTGTAGCTAAAAAAAATTTAAACTAGAGGATCCCACCCACCTGTCCATTGCTAGCAGTGGAGTTGGATCAGAGCCAGAATTAACTGCTTCTTCATTTTTTATGTAAGATGCAACTGTACATAAATTAATCCTAGTTAAGGATTCTGCTACAGGTTGGTCTCTGTTATTTAATTTAATGTTTTTAAAATAAATGTCTTCTTCCATTCCCCTCCTGCTTGATTTTCCATTTTATTCCTGAGTTAAACACATAGCTGAAGCCTTTTGCAATTGTATTCTTCTTTATTAACTATAGGAGTGATGTCAGATACAGAAAATCAAATTGGGAATGGAAATTAACTCTTACATGCCCTCATGTTAGGGATGAATGGCACTAATAAGGTTGAGGGAGAGTCTAGTTTCCATATAGATAGAAAATAGGAATACAAAACCAAAATATTCCCCTGCAAAAATGTTATTCTTTTAATACTTACTACTCACACCTCAATGGACTCACCAGAAACTAAACTAAATCACATTGTTAACTTAGGCTTGGTCTACACTAACCCCCCAATTCGAACTAAGGTACGCGACTTCAGCTATGTGAATAACGTAGCTGAAGTCGACGTACCTTAGTTCGAACTTACTGCGGTCCAGACGCGGCAGGCAGGCTCCCCCGTCGACTCCGTAGTCCTCTCACCGAGCAGGATTACCGGAGTCGACGGCGAGCACTTCCGGGTTCGATTTATCGCGTCCAGACAAGACGCGATAAATTGAACCCAGAAGTTCGATTGCCTGCCGCCGAACCAGCGCGTAAGTATAGACGTACCCTTAGTACACAAATCTAATACAGGATGTTTTTGATGAGACATCTTCAATGGGTATGTTACAGTATTTCCCATCCAACTGCTAGAGGGGAGGGAGGAATTTGAGCTGCCCGCACACTGGGTAAGGCTATATACTCTCAGTATTAACTATGCCAGTATTCTAGATGCAATATTACTATAATTTTATTAAAATCCTGTTGTTTTACTAATAAGAAATCCCGATTGCTTTTAATGAATCTGTTCCTGTGCATAAAAATAAACGTTCTGCAGTGAGAAAATACAGAATATTAACAATGAAATAGTAAGTGTATCATTGTATGAGCTTCTGACAGGCATTGGTTAAATTTCTCTTGTTAAATCTTTAGGGTTCCAGATTAGATGATCAAAGATGTGCTCCACCATCAACTGCTACAAAAGGACCAACTGTACCTGATGAAGATTTCTTCAGCCTTATTTTGAGATCACAGGCCAAGAGAATGGATGAACAGAGAGTCCCTTTACCCTCCAGTATAAAGAGACTAAATCCTAACGAAGACTTTTAGAAAGAGAAGCCTTGTTGGAATTTCAACTATAGCACAAAGATTAGGGGGTCGGCTTGTACTGTATTTTTTAACAAAGAATCTGTCACTTTCCTTTGTTTGCAGGGAAAATGATAATATGCCTTTAAAGGAAAAAAGGGTTTTTTGTAGCACTAATAATGTTTGGATATTCAGTTGTGTAAATAGTTTTACTTTTCAAAAATAGTGCTAGTAAATTGACAGTTGTACATTCCTGTGATGAGTATTCTGCAAAAGGTACGGTCTACAGTTGCTACTACTGCTAGAGATGAACTGTATGTCAAAGCTTAAATGAGTCACTGAGTACTTTCTTTTAACTATCTAAAGTGGATAGCATTGTGATCAGTAAGATGTAGTGTTTAAGGTACTCTGCTTCATTGATTAAAACGCTACAAGTTTATGGCAGTTTAACAGTAATACAAATTTCATAGTTCTAAATGTCCTTTTAAAAAACTTTTTTCCCAATTTGTATGTTTACCTTTCCTGGAACGAACATTTAGTCTCTGGACTTTTTTATATCAGTTTTTTTTTTTAAACCCACAAACTGAGGAATAAATTACCTCTGACTGCTTATTCCTCTTGTGTGTGTGCCTTCAAGCTACTGAAAACCTAATTGGGATTGGAAAAGTTGTTCTCTGCAGAACTCAGCTCATCATAACAAGACTTTTACGGACTCACCTTGATATCTGAAGTCAGAAAAAAACGATTTCCAATTTGGCTTAGGACACAGTTTCTACTCTAAGTTATCTCCTAAACACCAAGATTGCTGGCTTCTCATAGCTTAAATTGAACATATCACATGCTGGCCACTTTTCTTTAAAAGTTACTTTATTTAAATGCAAAAATAAGCTCTTGCTTTACAACCAGGCTTGGTTTACTTTGAAATACATACATTTACCAGTTCTCCATCACAAGACTTTTATAAACAGCTTCATAGGGAGAGTATTGATCCATAAGGAGCAAAAATCTGAAGGATGAGAATTTGCTAGGAATCCAGTCTTCTTGATTAAGGGGCAAGCCGTAGCTAGTGTCTCACTTGCCAACTGGCATTGATAAATTTCTTTAATTGCTGCACTTTCATTTACACTGGGGTTCCACTGCATCAGGAAGATAAAATCAGGGAACTAAGGGGTTCCTGGAAGATCTTCAATAGTAGGCTGCTGACTTTGTTCCTGCAATGAGAAGGTTTAAATGTTTATTAAACAGCAAGTGGATTCTGCAGTTCAAAACATTCAACTCTCCTCCTCAAAATGATGTAATTACTCCAGTGAAGTGACCACCATCTCCAGACAGGGCTCAAAAATGCATTATCCATAGGTCCCATGTTAGAAGGTGCATTTTATTTAAGTTTTGCAAAATAGAAATTGATGTACTGGGTTAGATCAGAGGCTCATCTGTCTAACAGCAGCCACTGCCAGATGCTTCACAAGGTGCAAAACAATCAACCCCCACTCAGACAGCTCAAGAATAACCTGCTCATTGCACAGTAGCTGGAATTATGCTCTGAAACAGTTTTTAAACATGTTGATTAACTGCTGGTGTCAATCTATAAAATCCTCTTGCTTCCTAATATCTGCAATTCACTGGCACTAGATTAGGTACAAAACCCATTCCCTGTTTATCACCGAAGTTAGTTTCATTGTGTCCCTTTAATATTACAGTAAGGGCCACAGTTATAGCTCCTGGCCCCCAAGAGCTAACTTTTGTATTGTAAGAGAGCAAACCACACATTTTTAGAAAGGGGGCATGGCAACACTCAGTCTCCCTTTCTAGTTGATTGTCTATAACAGTTTTAATCTTTAGACAATCTGGCCCCCATCTAATTCTGCTCTCTATTTCTAGATGAAGTGACCACATATGTATACAGTATTCTAAAGGATGTACCACTGGTTTTTAATATGTCATTGTATTGTTCTTGAACATTATTTTTTTTAACTGAGCTGCAAAACAGGCTAATTACACGCAACTCTTCTTGATAGCCGTGTATGAGGAGTTCAAATTATGCCTTTTAATGTGATAGATAAAACTGACCAATGTAAACTATTGTGCTACTACCTCTTTCCCTGAGTTTGTTAGGCAAACCCAGATGCCTCTGGAACCTAAATATTTTGTGGTATCTGCAGATTTTCTCTACTTAGTTACCCCCTTTTTCCATATGTTAAATACAAAGAGTAGTCGAGAAGCTTGCTGCACCCCACATAGGCTAATTTTCAGCACTGTTATCTTCCCATGACAAAGTTGTCGTAGTAACTTCCTGTAAAGGATTTTATCAAATGTTCTCTGAAAGTCAAAAAAAAAAAAAAAAAAAAATCAAAGGTGGACAAGTTTAAATCTAACCAATTTTGATCTTGTTTTGCACATGTAGTTTTAGTTATTTCCTATAGCTGGAGGTAGGCAAACTTTTTTGCCTGAGGGCTACATCTGGGTATGGAAATTGTATGGCAGACCATGAATGCTGATGAAAATGGGGGTTGGGCTGTGGGAGGGGAAGCAGACGTGGGGGTGGAGCCAGAAATTAAGAGATCAGGGTGCAGAAGGGAGCTCCGGGGGACTAAGGGGGTTTGCAGGCTGGGGCGGGGAAGGAGGTCGGGGTGCAGGTTCCGGGCAGCGCTCACCTCAAGCAGCATGTAAAGGTGCGACCAGGCACAACTCCCGCAGCTCCCAGTGATGAGGAACTGCAGAGCTGGGGCGGGGGCCGCATGTGGAGCCCACTGGCTGTCCCTATGTGTAGGAGCCAGACGGGAGACATGCCCACCGTGCCACTGCTGCTGGGAGCAGTGTGGAGCTACAGCATGCGCGGAGTGGGGCAAGCCCCCAACTCCGCTTCCCGGTAGGTGCTTAAGGGCAAGATTAAAAGGTTTACACCCCTGCTGTAGATCCGCTTTAATCTACGTACTGCCTTTTCATATAGGAATTTGTCTCTGAACAGCGGGAGGGGGACAAAACAACACTGTTTTTTCAGATAACTGCTCTAGAGCGAGCACTTAGGCCTGGTCTACACTAACCCCCCAATTCGAACTAAGGTACGCAACTTCAGCTACGTGAATAACGTAGCTGAAGTCGACGTACCTTAGTTCGAACTTACTGCGGTCCAGACGCGGCAGGCAGGCTCCCCCGTCGACTCCGCGTACTCCTCTCGCCGAGCAGGATTACCGGAGTCGACTGAGAGCACTTCTGGGTTCGATTTATCGCATTCAGACAAGAGGCAAT